ATCCACTGTGTATCGTGACATATATATGGCAGTGCGGGGAACGGTAGAGACAAAAATCAAGTGACCAGAATGAGTGTTTTGTGTAGTCTTCTGTTCAGTCGTTAGTCTTGCATTGTTAATAATGTCTGACTAGATTGAAATGGATAGATAGCACTGCCCAGTCTTGAAATCAAATCACACTTACTATTCCTTCCACGTGTCGTCCATACTTGCTTATTTCTCACCGATACGATGGAAGGTATTTCAATCTTCTTCATGTTACCTTAGGATCCGCGGTTCGAACCCCGACACCGATATCCAAACTCAGTGGAAGGCAGCGTTGCCGTCTTTCGGCTCAATACCACGCCGAACCTGACGGGGTTCGATGTAATTCATCTCTCCCAGACCCGGAGCTTCTGCTACCGGTGTCCATCAGTAAAATTTGATCCCCTTGCCCAAGGGGTTTAATCCGACCGCTTTTCATCACACAAGGGTGTGTGATGATGAGTTGATTTCTAAACCTAAGACTGTCAAATCACCAGCTGATCACAACTGATCGGGCTTATTGACAGTCTCAATCGGTTCTTTCCATCAATTATTCCGTGAAAACGTGATAACCAGTGAATAAATATCAATGCATCACGGTTTGAAGTGAAACCTCAATTCTCAAACTTCCGTCGGTTGTTGATCATTGTAAGTGAACATCGCAGCAATCGGAAGATCCGGATTCGACTTCATTGCGTTACTCAGTGGCTAGCCAGATTGCGCACATGAACGTTCGGTACCCTTTTCACTTGGGCGAGAGAGAGTGATCTTTTGTCAAGCGGAAAACCTTTACGTAATCAGACACGGTCCCTGATAGTCCCTAACCGCTCATTAAGTGAATGTGCATCTATTTTCGGTTTGATTACCTAAGTTAAACTTCTAATATCCGTGACTTGTCGACGAACCCATTATTCTACGAGACTCGGGACCGTGTTTAATCTTCGGCTTCCAACTGCATAGAATGTGACATATATTGGTATGTATATACACTTTCCATTTTATACTGTCTGAACCCAGTCAATGAATTAATAGGTTGATTTTTGTTTTTCGTTCTAAAGCGCTAATTTGAACATTATGGGTCAAGTACAGTGTCCCATGCGTGAGTACTTACAGGAATTATGCACCCCGCTCCTTAAGACACACAAACATATGCGCCAGCACTTACTCGCGTTTTGAGATCGTAGGTCAGTACCAGATTCCGGGCGAAGCTGTTCGCGAATGCAGAATAGAAGTTGAGCACTTGGAGCAAATTGTCCTTCTTGATACAATGCAAATCACAATAGGTCAGCGCACGAACAGTGGCCGCGGAATGGCTCATCCGATTCGGTTCTTTCCAGAACGGTTCACCGAACACATCACCACGACCTGAGTGCGGAGCGAATATGTATGCCACAATGATTCCAATGCGGTTGACGGGATAAGGGTGAGATCAGACAAGTGTGCAGACAAGTTAGGATAAAAAAAATCATTCAGAATATTTATTTTCCTCGTGTAAATGGAACGTGAGCTGAAAAGCCGGGGAGCACTGGACAGCTGTTTCGACCAGGCTGCTGGATCTCATCGGCAGTGAGCGAATCCATCGACCCAACTGGGGACCGAATCCAAGACCTCACAGGTGGAACGCAAGTATACTATCTACTTGGTCTCATTTGCACGACTAATTCATCACATAAACAAATCAACTCCTCTATTTTCCATCCGAGTCATAAACTTAGAGCCTGGTGCTAAGATGAAAGAGGTCCGATACTCGGAACAAGCTCGCATAAACGGGTTGTGCTGTATCGTGCAAATTCAAAATGAGAAACGGTCGGATCAACTGCCCGGTGATCAAGTGGGTAGTATGCTTGCGTTCTACCTGTGAGGTCCTGGATTCCATCCGCAATGGGGTCAATTGATTCGCACGGTTGATGAGACCCAACCAGATTGAAACAGTTGTTCATTGCCTCCCAGCTTTTCAGCTCACGGCTCATTTACGCGACGAATTCATCATATAAGCAAATCAAATCTTCCATTGCTCTCTTATTTAGCTTCACTAATTTTGAGCATAATAAAGAGAAGAAAACAAATTGCTTCATTCATTCACATCAATTCAGTCACTGTTGAATTCAAGTCTATGAAATACAAAAATTAGCGGAGCTTAAAAAGTTCACAAATCGGTCAAATTTATTTCTGCTCAAGACGCACATTGAAATGCAGCACCCCTGAGGAGGTAATAGTCTGATATATGTTCCCATGACTTTTACTGCTTTCCGCCTAACTCAAATTGTCTGATCTATTTGTGATTTAAGTATCGGTCTCCCTCAAATTTGAACTTAGTGGTTTGGTAAGATACCGAGTGAACTCACCAGAATTGTTATGGAAACCAGACAAAATGTTCACTAAAGCTCTTAAGTTGGAAGGCGTTGGTCTACAATGTGACCGATCTAACAAGTTCATTACGTAGTCGCTCCGAGGTTAGACCGTCCTACCTCGGTGTAGCTGTGGCTGTAAATAAATGTCGGCCGCATCGACTGACGTGACCTGTAGTTCGGCCGTTTAAACGATCGCACAAGTAATGTAACGATGCCGTGGGCACTTTTCTGATCAGTGTTCACATACCACGTGTGAGTTGTCCATACAGCAGGGATCGGACACCTGCCAGGTGACCATCGGTCACATGAACAAAATCTGTTAGCCAGAAAAAGCATGAATATGAATAACGAGATGTCATCCTTATTATTTTTAGCTAAGGATGGTTGCGAAATCCATTTAGTTTACAGTAGGCTAAACCGAACACCGTCTGATAGTAGTGACCATCATCGAGTGAAATCGGCGATAAATGCGTTGTCTCCCTAGCGTCCTGAAACACCTGGGTTCGTTCAAAATTGCGCTTTATGATAGCTCGATACCTAATGATTCATTTGCAGATTGTCCTGCTGCAGACTTTCTGTTCAGGAAGAGCGAAAACCAGTCCATTTTATTGCAGTGACAATAAAAATGGATAAAAGTGGATAGAACATTTTGGATTGGAATATCACTGGACCGAAATAACTTTTGGTACAATTTGTTAAACTGTGTACGAGCTTGACTTTACTAATAATCCAAAGGAATCCCGATTTTTTGAATTCAATTAATAGCGATTTTTAGTAGTTGGTCTCATTTACTCTTGAGTGTTGAATAGGCCTCAAAATCACCGAATTTCAACCATCCCATAAATCTCCTTACACTGTTGAAATTGGATTCGGCATTGTAAATAAAGTTGGTGATTGTGTCGTTATTGTTGTTGTGGTAATTTTTGTCAAATGATACAGACCCACAGCCAATCGGTCGAAGGAACCCGGACGATTTTTCACTGGTCACCTTTTCACTCGCGAAAATCGAAAATTCTGTTCAGTTCTGTCCGGTTGAAAGAAGATCATACATATGCATTTAATGGAATGATCAGTATGCTATAAGAAACAACTTTCTCTAAAATGCAGATTAACTAATTCAACTGTTTAATTGTATCAGTTGCTATTACACTGTTTATGTTGCTAAAACAGGATGAAGTAAATCGCTAGCAGTGAAGTGGATAGAACAGCCACAATTTCACAAATGTATCAATATTAAGGTTGTTTTACACTATGCAATCAGTGTAAATTTTTATCAGTCTTATATATGGTGGCTTATCATCCGTTTCACAAAAATGTGCCTAGTGACAAGCGAAGCGTTACGGAGAAATTGGAGAAACAGCCATTGAAATTTGCACAATGCACACACAGACAAATGCACTGGTATGCACTCTTTCATTTCATGAACAAACTCGATGAAAGTATAGTTAAGGCCCATAGGATTATCCTCACCGAGGAAGGCCACAATTTCATCATCCTGTATCACTTCCAACGAGCCTGACACAACAAAACACAGTTGATCGATACTTTCTCCTTGGTGAAAGATCAGATCACCCGGGGCTGTGTGAATTGTATTGAAATTCACGGCCAAGGCACGCAGACAACCGTCACTGGCCAGTCGAAATGCAGGATGTTCATTGAATACCATTCGATTTAGATGGATGCATAAATCCGCTTTCATATCCTTTGGACAGTAGTTAAGAACCTGTTGATAAGAAAAAATATTCTTAAGCTTCCAGAGAAATGGACCAATGTTGTTTATACAAATTGGGACTGAATTGTGGGTGATTGGTCGATAGATTCAGTCCTCCACAGATAAGCAATCATGTGATGAGGTTGGCTGAGGTCAAGATAGGCTCAGTAATTAAACAGTTAATCGCAAACATTTTGTGCATTATCCCACCCAAATACATTATCGATGATATTGTAGGTAAAGAGGACAAGATTACTGTCGGTAAACAATTTCTAGCCGTAGGAAAAAATCACTTTCTTGTTGGTTTATTCATACCGCCATCAAATTAGGTATCATAACGACAGTATCAACTGCGATCTACATGGACCGCACACTTGACAACAAGGAAACTACCGTTCGACTTGTCCAAGCGTGATCGGACGCGTTTACTATCCTGACCCTTTCCGTTGTATTCTGATCAGCATCTTGATAACCTGTTTCTTGTCTGTTTAGTTTCATTTGTTATGCGTAAGTCTTTTAGGTGGTGAAAACGAAAGTCAATTAAATGTGTCCCGTGTTAACTTTACACCTGAAGGTGCGTCATTTGCTATCGCCATCCGCATACGCATTTGGATGGGGAGAGATTGTACCTATCAATTCATCATGGCACAAAGAGCATTTGGAAATTAGCGAGCCTATGATGGTGAAACACAGACTATCTGTAGTTGTGGCAACTGGTTAACTGTCATCTTCAAGTCTACACATGAAAAAACGTAACCGAAGTTATTCTAGACAGCCCCGGTGTGTGCCAGTTGCTGAGTTACAGTTGTTTGTGGTTCAATTCCCAGACGAGTCGCACTACCGATGAGCTCTGATGATAATCGAGATAGTTGTTTGGCAGATTTGAAGTTTGTATGTCGATTGTGAAAAGTTCAGTAGCCTCGGTGGGATTCGAACCCACGGAAAACCTGTCGGGGCAGTCAGCTTACATGCTAACTGGTAGATGCCACATGCCTCTGTAAGTTGGATGGGTAAATTCGAATGTGAAAAGATCAGTGCTATCGGTGTGGCCTCGTAGCTCAACTGGTAGAGCATGCGCGTACAAAGCGTAGGCGGCGTCCATGCGTGGGTTCGAATCCCACCGAGGCTACTGAACCTTTCACAATCGACATACAATCGAGATAGAGTCCAGTACTGCCGGAAGGCAAGATTGACCAAGTTCGGTTTCGAGGAATTCGTTTGAGGTCCAAAGTATATTATTTAAAACTCGAAATAATAGTCATGCGAATGTATGTGGTGTTACAGAAGTTCACGGACGGAAACGGAATTTATTGATCGGAGACATTAATTAACAAAACAATAATAAATGTGGAATGAGTTAACATCCTTCATGCAGTAATGAATATGTTTCACAATGATAGGTTGAAGTGTAAATAAAATCTCCCATTAGGCATAAAAATACATAGTTTTCATGTACGATTCGGAAATACGTTACTTCTATGGGTTTGATTGACATGCATTTGTTTGTCGAATCTTTGGAATTTATTATCGGAATAGAATCATGAAACCTAAAAACACCAATCTTCTTTGAAGTGCAGAAGCCAATTGCAATAATTGGGTGCAGGATCACACCTTAGACAGTACTTCAATAAGAAATAAAATGAATCCCTTGTCCGTTCCTAAATCAATAATGGGAACACAAAGCTGAAGTTTGTGGTCGCAGGAATACACATGCTTGGGACCCTCATCACAAAACTGTTGGTGGATTAACGGACGCAAGTGAACAAAGACCATGGATAAACTGCGCAAATACATTCCTTACAGATAAAGAAAGAAGCACGAAGAAACTAAAGCGGAATATTGGTTAAACCATTTTAACAAGAAACGAACCCGTTACTCTGCGGTATAAACAGAACTATGTTCGGAGATAAAGAAACAGCTAGGCAAATTTCCGTAAAGTTCGTTCTAAAACAAAGCTACTACCCAGTAGCGATTAACCACTAATAGCTTTTTCATTTCTACATAAGAAAATCAGATACAAACTTGTAAATCCTATCATTTTCAACTCAGTCTACAGAAGGAAATTTTCTTAGGCAATTTAAGCTCCTGAGTGGTACAAGAAAGTCGAAAAGCTCAAAATTGGATTCCGCAAAACAATAAACGTTGATATTCGATGCTTCAAATACATGTATTTTTCGCTTTCCAATTTAGTCAAATTTGAAACCGGGGGGCTTGGCTAGTCAAATTGTGGTGGTTTAATGCTCTCCAAGCGCCGGTGAGGTTTTGATTTAGTTTAATTGACTATCACACAGGCAGTTCTTGTTCGCCTTAATTCCATGTCTCGGCTAGTGAGATTACTACAATTCTACTCTTTACGTAGCTAAAATAAAAAAGAATAATAATCTTATTACTCATTTTTTTACTTTTTTTGTTCTCAAAATACAGAACATTCTAACAGCGATCTGATTTTAAGAAGAAATATTATGTCTATGGGCCTTTCTATTGAAGTTTGTTCCGTCTGGAATGGTCTTGGACATTGTAAACTGGAAACGTTCCGTTATTTGTTTCCAACCAAAATCCCATCTTGTCGGTCCGGAGCATAAATATTTGCATACCTGCAGGCTAATGATGAATGTGCAAGGAAATCGTTTTTTGATCAATAAATATAAAAATTGGTGACAATATTGCACTTGATCACAGATTTCGGAAATGTTTTAAGGAATGAACATCATAAAGTTGTCTGTGTGTACTTGTCGATAGCGGCCACATTACCCATTGTATCATGAGATAACTGAATAAAATAATTTATTTAAACCAAAATTCGAGACCCGATTTAATCATACACGAATTACCTCTCATAAAGATGTGGCCACTGATAAATTCCTCCTCAGTCCTGAGGTGGTTTCTTCAGGTACGTGAAGACCGTCTGTGACAAGGTTTGGTTATTTCAAAAGGTGTGTGAGTTCAATTCGACACCTTTGCTTGCTAATATCTCGGCTTTCAGATACGCTAGAGCGTTTTCAGGCCATATAACCGGTACCTTAGAGGGAATAATATAATTTCTCTTTAATAGCTGGTTGTTACTCCCGCTATCCGCCAACTGGATACGGAAAATGATATATTATAAATAGTACTCTTTCTTGTGCAATTAGACACCTCCTCGTCTCTGAAAGTTCAATAAATTAAATTAAAACCGTCACTGATTCATTGGTCTGAAACACGTTCACGTATCCTGTATCTCATACTTTCTCAGATATTCCACAGCTCTACAAGCCCTTTGACAATGGTTTCCACACAACTTGCTCCTCTTGCCGTATCCAATGGTAACTGCTATCAGTCGGCCCTTTGTGATTGATGATTCCTGCAAACGGTCAGTATCACTCTGGGTGACCGTCTTGTTTTGACGTCGTGTGCTGCGCTCGTGCACCTGCAACCGGAAGGCGCCACAATTTGAGATATGAACTGCTGTTTGTCCATGATTGGATTCTTTAGAACAATAGGATCACCGAGTTCCTGTCGGATGGAGGTGGCGCGGTACACAAGTATCACCAGGTCGTCAAACTCTTCACGTGAATCAGTTTATCCTTTATCGTGAGGCATCTTCGTTATGAATCTTTATGGATCAAAATTATAATCTGAATTTTCACAAAAATTACCATTACTTAATGCAAGCCTCATTTTCGATGTGTCGAGTTCATCGTCTGTGTCCCGGAAAACCGCATTGTGGAAACCTATGGCTGCATGACGTTATTTGAACACTGCAGCTATCCATAACATACAATAAAATTTGGCTCAAGCACTAAGTGCATGAGTGGTAGTGGGCAGATCCGCACACTCTTGATAAAACTGGTCACATACTGGGTCGACAGTTTTCACCGCAGGAGAATGATTTGTCAGATGCATATACGTGATTGTGCAAGAATGCGAATTATAAAGTTATAAAGTTATGAGAAAGTGATCAGTACCAAAATTCCGTGAGCAGTTACAGCGTCCTCTTACACCACCGAGGTAAAACCCAAGTCAAAACAATAGATTGTTTCAGATGGGCACCTGAATTCTGTCAACGAACAAACATCGTCCCGCCCAAAATAGAGATATGCCTTTGTACAAGCGAACTTGGCAAAAAATTCAATGGAGTTCTAAACATTTTGTTATTGTACAGCCTTAGTGAACAATCTCGTCCGCAACAAAGTTGGACAAACTCGGACCAGACGGAGAGAAGAAGACACTATTGAAATAGGGCAAGGTCGACCATCATTCAGGCTTGCTTACCTTGGCTGTATCGATGCCTTTTGTGATAGCCCAAGTCGAAGTCACATAGTCTATCACTCGTTCGGCCAAATCTTTCGGGACACTGTGCGTCTTGATAAAATCTTTCACCGATCCCATCATGTCATGATAACGCGATCGTGTTGCATACATGCCTTGAAATATGGTTGTCACGTTACCAAAGATGGTGGCATAACCAAACGCTGAAAATGTCAAAACGGGTGAGAGAACACAAATCACTGAAAGTTGCGCAACATGGGGGAGGGGTTGTTTGGGGGTTCAGTAGGTAGCACGAATCCAGCAATTGAGTTCATTGCGAGTAGTATGCAACAGTTTTACACAGGCAACTCTCGCACCGATTGATATCCGCACATTTGAAGTCACTTTTGCGTAACATATCGTGACCTGAAAAGGTGACCGATTGCAGTTGAGCTATTGAGGCTTCATTGCTCACAGTGAAAAAGCCCTCGGAAAGCTAACACAACTTATGAGAATATGGAAATTGTGAAACTTATCCCAAGATCCATCTAGAGTTTACGAATGAGTTTGCCTGATTGTTTACTGTTCTATTCGGTGAGGGATTAGCACCAAAGGCAAACTGATTGTCTCTGTATTTACCAGGGAGAACTAACTCCAGTTTATACTTGATTATCCCATGATAGAGAGTAGATAAAGTGGACACGAAACCCATGAAGACCTAAAAACCAGTTACTCTCGACCTGAGATTGGGTGAGATCGAGTCGGGAAACGGTAAAGC